CCTTATTGTTTAAGAACACAGTAAGGATTATTTGGTTAAAAGTTGGTACTAAGCTTATAAAAAAAAACTAAATACAGTATCACAAAATATCACAGGCATATCAAGTTTGAACCACCTTATTATATGTAGTACCTAGTTGGATGGGGTGAGGGTGGCCAAAGAGGATAAGGAAAAAGACACAGGAAGGAAAAACAAAATAATAGACATGCAGAAAATAAGGAAGGTGAGAGGTACAAGAGAGGCATCACTCTCTTTCTGTCCTGTGGTCAGATGAGATTTTGGTTTTGGTGTTTTTGACCTCTGTGATATTATTCACCCTGATCTTAGTGACTTTATCAACAAAAAAGTTTTTTTGTACTAAATACTGTTTTCCCTTATTGATTTTTGTCAGTTCAGTTCATAGTATTTAAAGCTCCTGCCCTTTTGTAGAACACATTTTAATTTTCAAGATGAGTTTTTTTAGTTGCTTGGAAAGCACTTCAGGTAGTGTGGAGATCTAACTGAATCTTGAGTTCTATGTATTTATTAATTATATATATAAAGGCCTGCTTCTAAATTAAAGCAAATTGTGAAACTGCCCCTTTTGAAGTGAAAAAATAAATTATTCACTGTTATTGTGAAATTAAATAAGGATGTGTGAGGCGCTAACACTATCAAATCTCTACATGATTCAAAAATTAGAATAAAGTCCAAAATATGCACTACTGTGCATCCAGAAAGTATTCACAGCGCTTAACTTTTGCCACATTTTCTTATGTTACAGCCTTATTCCAAAATGGATTAAATTAATTTTTTTCCCTCAACATTCTACAAACAATACCCTATAATGACAACATGAAAGAAGTTCATTTTGAAATCTTTGCAATTTATTAAAAATAAAAAACGAAAAAAAAAAACACACGTACATAAGTATTCACAGCCTTTGCCATGACACTCAGAATTGAGCTCTGGTGCATCCTGTTCCCACTGATCATCCTTGAGATGTTTCCACAACTTGATTGGAGTCCACCTGTGGGAAATTCAGTTGATTGGACATGATTAGGAAAGGCATAAACCTGTCTATATAAGGTCTCACAGTTAGTGCATGTCAGAGCACAAACCGAGTCATGAGCACAGTGGCCTCCATCATCCGTAAATGGAAGAAGTTTGGAACCACCAGGATTCTTCCTAGAGCGGACTAACCGGCCATAATGAGCAATCAAGGGAGAAGGGCCTTATCCAGGGAGGTAACCAAGCACCCAATTGTCACTCTGAAAGAGAGTTTTTCTGTGAAGAGAGGAGAACCTTCCAGAAGAACAACCATCTCTGCAGCACTCCACCAATCAGGCCTGTATGGTAGAGTGGCCAGACGGAAGCCACTCCTCAGTAAAGAAAATGGCAGCCCGCCTGGAGTTTGTCAAAAGGCACCTGAGGAACTCACAGACCACGAGAAACAAAACACTCTGGTCTGATGAAACAAAGATTGAACTCTTTGGCCTGAATGCCAAGTGTCATGTCTGGAGAAAAAAAGGCACCGCTCACCACCTGGCCAATACCATCCCTACAGTAAAGCATGGTGATGGCAGTTTCATGCTGTGGGGATGTTTTTCAGCAGCAGGAACTGGGAGACTAGTCAGGATTGAAGGAAAGATGAATGCAGCAATGTACAGAGACATCCTTGATGAAATCCTGTTCTGGAGAGCTCTGGACCTTAGACTGAGGCTACGGTTCATCTTCCAACAGGTCAACGACCCTAAGCACACAGCCCACATAACAAAGGAGTGGCTACGGGCCAACTCTGTGAATGTTCTGGAGTGGCCCAGCCAGAGCCCAGACTTGAACCCGATTGAACATCTCTGGAGAGATCTGAAAAAGGCTGTGCACCGACGCTCCCCTCCCAACCTGATGGAGCTTGAGAGGTACTGCAAAGAAGAATGGGAGAAATTGCCCAAAAATAGGTGTGCCAAGCTTGTACCATCATACTCAAAACGACTTGAGGCTGTAATTGGTGCTAAAGGTGCTTCAACAAAGTATTGAGCGAAGGCTGTGAATACTTATGTACATGTGTTTTTTTTTTTCCTTTTTTATTTTTAATAAATTGCAAAGATTTCAAAACGAACTTCTTTCATGTTGTCATTATGGGGTATTGTTTGTAGAATGAGGAAAAAAATGAATTTAATCCATTTTGGAATAAGGCTGTAACATAACAAAATGTGGCAAAAGTGCTGTGAATACTTTCTGGATGCACTGTATGTTCACCATACTGTAGGGTTTATTTACTAAATCTGGAGAGTGCAAAATCAGGTGCACTTCTGCCTAGAAACCTTACAGCTTACAGGTTTTATTGCCAAAGCTTAATTGAACAAGCTGAGGTTAGAGGTTGATTGGCTACCAAGCACAGGTGCACCAGATTCTGCGTGGACCAGTTTTAGTAAATGCTGTCCATTGAGAGAGCTGAACCACGGCCATGACTCCTGCGCACATGCATAGGAGTGATGTCATCGTGGCTCTGCTTTTAAAGCACCTATGAAAGCCCTATCAGCAGTGACAGGGCTTCATTTTAAGGTAAAGGTAAGGTAAAGTTTGCTTGTTTGTTTTTTCTGACAGTTTACTACCACTTTAAGTACGTGTTAAAAGTCTTGCCTATTTCATTTTTGATGGATTACAAAGAACACAAACCTCTGCTCAATCCCTCCCTCCTTGAGCACAGGCAGAGAGCATAGGAGGAAGTTACCAGCTCACAAGATTTCTAGCACAGTCAACAGGTACTTTAGCACTTTTTAAACATAAATAACAAAATACTGGGTAGTGGGGTTGAAAGCACAGTGGGTAAATGGTTAGCACTTCTGCCTGGCAGTACTAGGGTCACTGGCTTTAATCCCAACCACGGCACCATCTGCCTGGAGTTTGCATGTTCTGTGGGTTTCCTCCGAGTACTCTGGTTTCTTCCCACACTCCAAAGACATGCTGGTAGGTTAATTAGTTCCTGTCTAAATTGGCCCTAGTATGAATGTGAGTTAGGGACCTTAGATTGTATTCCCCTTTAGTGTTAGGGACTGATGTGAATGTACAATATACAGTCAGGTCCATAAATATTGGGACATCGACACAATTCTAACATTTTTGGCTCTATACACCACCACAATGGATTTGAAATGAAAGGAAAAGATGTGCTTTAACTGCAGACTGTCAGCTTTAATTTGAGGGTATTTACATCCAAATCAGGTGAATGGTGTAGGAATTACAACAGTTTGCATATGTGCCTCCCACTTGTTAAGGGACCAAAAGTAATGGGACAGAATAATAATCATAAATCAAACTTTCACTTTTTAATACTTGGTTGCAAATCCTTTGCAGTCAATTACAGCCTGAAGTCTGGAACGAATAGACATCACCAGATGCTGGGTTTCATCCCTGGTGATGCTCTGCCAGGCCTCTACTGCAACTGTCTTCAGTTCCTGCTTGTTCTTGGAGCATTTTCCCTTCAGTTTTGTCTTCAGCAAGTGAAATGCATGCTCAATCGGATTCAGGTCAGGTGATTGACTTGGCCATTGCATAACATTCCACTTCTTTCCCTTAAAAAACTCTTTGGTTGCTTTTGCAGTATGCTTTGGGTCATTGTCCATCTGCACTGTGAAGCAGCGTCCAATGAGCTCTGAAGCATTTGGCTGAATATGAGCAGATAATATTGCCCAAAACACTTCAGAATTCATCCTGCTGCTTTTGTCAGCAGTCACATCATCAATAAATACAAGAGAACCAGTTCCATTGGCAGCCATACATGCCCACGCCATGACACTACCACCACCATGCTTCACTGATGAGGTGGTATGCTTAGGATCATGAGCAGTTCCTTTCCTTCTCCATACTCTTCTCTTCCCATCACTCTGGTACAAGTTGATGTTGGTCTCATCTGTCCATAGGATGTTGTTCCAGAACTGTGAAGGCTTTTTTAGATGTCGTTTGGCAAACTCTAATCTGGCCTTCCTGTTTTTGAGTCTCACCAATGGTTTACATCTTGTGGTGAACCCTCTGTATTCACTCTGGTGAAGTCTTCTCTTGATTGTTGACTTTGACACACATACACCTACCTCCTGGAGAATGTTCTTGATCTGGCCAACTGTTGTGAAGGGTGTTTTCTTCACCAGGGAAAGAATTCTTTGGTCATCCACCACAGTTGTTTTCCGTGGTCTTCCGGGTCTTTTGGTGTTGCTGAGCTCACCGGTGTGTTCCTTCTTTTTAAGAATGTTCCAAACAGTTGTTTTGGCCACGTCTAATGTTTTTGCTATCTCTCTGACGGGTTTGTTTTTGTTTTTTTCAGCCTAATGATGGCTTGCTTCACTGATAGTGACAGCTCTTTGGATCTCATCTTAAGAGTTGACAGCAACAGATTCCAAATGCAAATAGCACACTTGAAATGAACTCTGGACCTTTTATCTGCTCATTGTAATTGGGATAATGAGGGAATAACACACACCTGGCCATGGAACAGCTGAGAAGCCAATTGTCCCATTACTTTTCGTCCCTTAACAAGTGGCAGGCACATATGCAAACTGTTGTAATTCCTACACCGTTCACCTGATTTGGATGTAAATACCCTCAAATTAAAGCTGACAGTCTGCAGTTAAAGTACATCTTGTTCATTTCATTTCAAATCCATTGTGGTGGTTTATAGAGCCAAAAATGTTAGAATTGTGTCGATGTTCCAATATTTATGGACCTGACTGTATATACACACACGTAAAGCGCTGCGTAAATTGACAGCGCTATATAAGTACCTGAAATAAATAAAATGCTCTTAATGATATATTTAGTAGACCAAAAGGAAGTAAAATAAGAGATCTTTGTTAGGGTTTACATACACTTTTTAATAGATGTAGTACTTATTTGTTTTATCAAATTATAAGAGATTTATTCCTATGCTTATGTGAAGTGTATGTCCCTGGGTGTCATTATATCAGCAGTCTTTAATGAACACAATGAACACACAGATCAAGAATTCCTCTCTTTTAAATTGACAGGAAATGATTATAGCTGGACTTCAACCTGAAACCTCTTATTCCATCACAGTTGCTGCATATACTATGAAAGGAGACGGTGCACGCTGCAAACCAAAGGTTGTCACCACTAAGAGTGCTGGTGAGTACATACTAATCCTAAAGTCCAAAATTGCAGAGCATTTGCACAGCGTCGTATGTGGAGCACATTGACCCTACATGCAGATAATTGTTTGGTGCAATTCAATTTGACAAATACAGCAAAAACATTCTTGCCACAAAAATTATTACTAATGACTAATACATTTGAGAGTCAAAATGATTTTTAGAGTTGTTTGAAAAATTGTGCTTGCCATTTTATAACACAAATAACAAGCATAGAAGAGTATTATCTGTATAATCAACTGGAAAGAGTTTTGCAGAATAAAAATATAATATAAATCAGATATTGAAAATATCTGAAATTGTACATACTTGTTTCTTCTTGAAAATTTAAGTCTTTCCAAACTTGCAGCAGACAGTGTTGTGTGCTTGCTTGTGACCAAGTCAAATGCTAAGAATACTGGATGGTGGGGTTGAGAGCTCTGGGATGCAAAATGGGCCAGTTCAGACCACTGGTCCATTTTGCATGCCCAGAATTCCATAGAGCTTAATAGATTTGATGTGCCTTTCGCCATCCTTTTTGGTTGTTGCCTATGGCTTTGGTTTAGCACCTCATTCTAGCCCTCCAGCTTAACAAAAAAAAAAAAAATAAAACATGTTAAGCAGTAATGATTCCTACTAATGGTTTTGGTGACACTGCTGTTTTTGATGCTGCAGAGAGGGGAAGTATAAACTTTGAGGCAGGGAGGGGTTTGATCCTAGGAATAAATAAATCTATGGTACATTTTTCAAAAATATAATTGTTGGTTTCCTGTGACTAGGTAACCAGCAAAATGCATAGTGGTAGATTTACTAAAGGTAAGTAGACTGGGCACTTTACAAGTGCAGTTGCACTTATTTTCACCAGAGCTTAAGAAATGTGGTAGTACTTCTAATTTCCATCATCCAATTTTGTGCAAGCAAAGATGTTCTTTTTATTTTTCTTGCACCTGATTGGGTATTCTTAAAAATGAAACTTTACCATATTACATTTACAAAGGAAAATTGTTTTTACCCCTTCTAGCTGGAATTATAATTTTATGAAATAAATTACAGAATTTTAATTGCATGTTCCATAAATCAAATTTTTTCCTGCCAGTTAAACAGCAGAGTACATTTGATCAATACTTCCCTTCCTGGCTATAGTAATACAATTGAAGATGAACAAGAGAATAATGATTTGTTTCATTTCCTGTTTTTGCAGGCAAAGAAGATGGCCAGACCCTCTTGGTCATCTCCATATCAAAAACATGGTTAATGTGTACAGCTGTACACAGCTAGATTTGGTTGGAGACACCTAAATTTAGTCCCATGGTTACCATACGTTTAGAACACAAGAAATTGTGTACAAAAAGTATTTAGTAATGTTGCATAATTGCATATGTTTCAACACAAATACAAGAGTAAAATATGTTTTAGAATAGATTTGGAGATACACAAAAAAATTTAGTGACACATAGTTATATGAACCAATTAGGAAACTGCTTTAGTTTTATGCCAGATTATGAGGTTCTTGATTGTCTTCCAAAATTAAAAATTCTCATAATTTACTGTAATGGCCTTGCACTCTTCTTCTCACTGCCAAGGCAATGAACAAATTATACCTGGATAAAGGCTAAGTTCAACTTTGTGGAAAAAAAAATAAATGCACACATTTTTGTGTCTTAATAAAGAAATACATTTTTTTTTGCTGCTTTGGCCCTCATTTAACTGTTCTACTCTTCACCCTGTAGTGTTGTCATCTTTTTAAAAGGCAATTAGCGCTCACTTCAGGACCCCGTCTGTCCCTTCCTGCTGGCTGCTACAGGAAGTGGGTGGGTCTCTCCATTAATACATCTTAGCTGATCTACACCACTACATCAATACTTCTGTTTCTCTGATTCCCTTCTGCACAGAACATGCTCTGCATGCTACTGCAAGTCTTCCCTGTACATGACAACACGTGGCTTTGCTCTCTTACACAGGCGTAACTGCCTGGAGCCTCAGTAATTCTTAATAGCCTGATAGCTTGGTTCTTTCTATTCACCATCAGAAGCCTGTCAGTACCTATGTGTCTGTGTCCCTCTTGTTGAACTCCAATGTTGCGCTTGTTGTGATAGGCAGTGACATTTTTCCTCTTGAGAATTCCTATCTGCCAATTTTGCTTGACTGTTCCATCCTTCTTTGCAGCATGTCTGATGCTAAAAAGATAAATAATGGCTCTATTGTCACTGGCGACTCCCTCCAAAAGATCTTATTTTCTACTTGCACTCATTAATTCAGCAGCATTCATACAAACCTGTGATGCCTGCAGATCCTCTTCTCACCTGCCTACTACTGCGCTTATCTTAAAGCTGCCTTTGGAGCTTTCAGGCATACATGTGGCTACCTTCTCTGTCTTAAAGATGGTATATCTTGCTGCAATAGCTGGTTGGAATTTGGAAATTGCTAAAAAAATCCAACCTGGCTCATCAACCATCTGGCAGCATCAGCCGTGTCTCCTTTTACCCACAAGACATGTTTAATCCCAGTCATTGTTAGCTGCATATATAATTTAGAGATAGACAAATAGGAAATAAAACATATTATTTAAGATCCTTTATAGGAAGAGACATGACAGTGCCTGCAAAATAAAAAGTTTTATTATTTTGCGCAATGCCAAAATAGTTTCTTGTATTTTGAAAAAAGAAGTGTAGATAAAAAGAAACAGATTTTTTTTGATCAGTGACTAAGGATATGATATTCTGTACATGGGATTGTAAAAAGATGGATTTGTTACTAGCTTGGAATTTTTGTTTCCTTAACTTGTTTATGACAAAGGTAAAAGAAATATTAATGCTTGAATACATTTTGCAATACTATTAAAGGAAAACTTGCACAGAATAGTAAAAAACAAAATATGATTTGTAAAATGTAGCTGTATATTTTTTGCTAATACCATAACCTACCAAAAAAAACAAACCAATTTCTCCTGCTCCTGATGATTGCGGTGATACCACATACACTATATTGCAGAACGTATTGGGACACCTCTCCAAATCATTGGATTTAGGTGTTCAAATCACCTCCATGGCCACAGGTGTATAAATTCAAGCAACTGTAAATTTATAAAAGATGCTAACACAAGGATATACCTCACCCAAAGAGGGGATGTCTCAAAGTTTTAGGATAGGTCACCGACTCACCATAAATTTAAGCGGTGGAGTCCTCCGAAGCCGGGATCATGTCAAAGAAAATGTGTTGGGAACCAAGAGAGGCCACCTAGAAAGAGGCTTAAAAGAGAACCGACCATGGTGTAACCAAACTAAACAACTTTATTGAGATCAAAAATATGTAAAAATTAGGCCAAATGGCCAACAATCCTCCAGTCACCATTAAAATAAGGTTAGATAACGTTATCACCCTAAAATACAAGCCCGGGCACTGCACATCCACTCACAAATGCTGCATTGCATTAACTAACGATCTCAAGACTGGCAGTCAGTGGGTGCTGATAAGCTGTAAGCTGACATGCTACCCAATCAACTAACAGTCAGAGAGTGATATAGTGACTAAGGTCAGAGAATGGTGGCCTGATCAGTATAAACAGCAACAACATGAAAAGCATAAGACATGTGCATCAAAATTTAATGTATAATAATACGTAACCACAATTGGGCCAGGTTTCAGCAGTATAGGCATATGGAAGTCCATGTCAGGCAACAGGGCATCAAAAAGGGTCATCCAGCACGTAGGCAGCACCAACGAGCTATGGGCCCCGCCCCCACTGGCGGCGATGTCTTCAGCCACCTGACACTAGAAATTCCCACATACTAACCACATATGGATCTCCTAATAGAGCCAACGGTTGTAAGCACAACACTTTGGAAGTTTCGGCTTGTACATGGGGACCGTTAATGGAAGGCACAGACTGGTAGAAGTATCACACTTATATCCAACTCTTCATATCCCCTAAGTGGAGGACTGGACATCACTGAGGAGTGCTCTATCTATACGCCGGAGTGGTGAGAGCCTGCGGGCAAACTATATGCGGCAGCTGTCACCATTTGTGCAAATCTTTACCACTAGACCCAACCATATGGTCATTGGCTTCACTACACTGCAAGGGTCCCACCTTTCTTTTACCCTACTGAAGATCCTTAATTATCACAATGGTGTTTCGTTGACTGTACATGACTTATAGCGATTTATGCTTAGGTCCTTGGCCGCATCTGGACACACTGATGTAGTTATCATGCAGCTCACCATTTACCACTACGCCCAGGTTGTGGGCTCTTTCAGCCTGCCCTATTTATCCGGATTCTATCTTGGCAGCCCACCGCCCCTTATGGATATGGGTATACAATCCTCTTTGATGCCCTGTTGCCTGACATGGACTTCCATATGCCTATACTGCTGAAACCTGGCCCAACTGTGGCTACGTATCATTATACATTAGCTCAGTGGATTCAAGCATGGTACCGTGATAGGTTGCCACCTGTGCAATAAGTCTATCCATGAAATTTCCTTGCTACTAAATATTCCATGGTCAACTGTTAGTGGTTTTATAACAAAGTGGAAGCAACTGGGAACAACAGCAACTTAGCCACGAAGTGGTAGGCCATGTAAAATGACAGAGCGGGGTCAGTTCATGCTGAAGCACACAGTGCACAGAAATCAGCAACTGTCTGCAGAGGCAATAGCTAAAGACCTCCAAACTTCATGTGGCCTTCAAATTAGCACAACAACAGTGCGTAGAGAGCTTCATGGAATGGGTTTCCATGGCCGAGCTGCTGCGTCCAAGCCCTACATCACCAAGTGCAATGCAAAGCGTTGGGTGCAGTGGTGTAAAGCATGCCGCCACTGGACTCTAGAGCAGTGGAGACGTGTCCACTGGAGTGAGGAATAACGCTTGAGGAATGAGCAATCTGGTGGACATTTCTGGGTTTGGCGGTTGCCAGAACGGTACTTCCCTTACTGCATTAAGCCAAGTGTAAAGTTTGGTGGAGGAGGGTTATGGTGTGGGGTTGTTGGGCTTGGCCCCTTAGTTCCAGTGAAGGGAACTCTTAAGGTGTCAGCATACCAAGACATTTTGGCCAATTTCATGCTCCCAATTTTGTGGGAACAGTTTGGGGATGGCCCTTCCTGTTCCAACATGACTGCGCACCAGTGCACAAAGCAAGGTCCATAAAGGCATGGATGAGCAAGTTTGGGGTGTAGGAACCTGACTGGCCTGCATAGAGACCTGATCTCAATCCAATAAAAACCGCTTTGGGATGAATGAGAGCGGAGACTGCGAGCCAGGCCTTCTTGTCTGACATCATTGCCTAACCTCACAAATGTGCTTCTGGAAGAATGGTCAAATATTCCCATAGACACACTCCTAAACCTTGTGGACAGCCTTCCAAAAGTTGAAGCTGGTATAGCTGCAAAGGGTGAGCCATCTCAATATTGAACCCTACGGACTAAGACTGGAAAGCCATTAAAGTTCATGTGCGTATAAAGGCAGGCATCCCAATACTTTTGGGAATATAGTGTATGTGTATGTTATTTTTGTTTGTATTCATAGTAGGACTTAGAAGCAATAGTGCACATTCTGTTTTTTATTCTATCTAAAGCACACTGATACTAAATAAAAAAATGCTTTTTTTATCCTGCCTAAAATGCATTTTTAACCCTGACTTTGACTCTGACCATGACCTTTGACACTGACCTAGACCAAAACCTGATCTAGCTATTTTATCATTATTATTATTATTTTATTTTAGAGCATACATTTTTTTTTCCTGCATGGAGCAAAAGATACAATGTATATTTTTCAAAATGCAACAGGAGGAAAAAAAATACAGAGGTTGGCTATATAGTGAATGATTACTGTGATAGCCAGTCACTGGCTATATAACGTGAATGATTACTGTGATAGCCAGTCACTGGCTATCACAGTGATCAGGTGATTGAGAACTGCTCCTCCCGTTTCCTGATCATTGGTGTCAAACCGTGAAAATTCAGTCTCTGTGCTTGGAGGACGCATGGTATGCAGGAGAAGAGGAAATGTTTTTAAAGAGGAGCTTGAGGCCTCCCCCCACTTTTTAATAAAAGTACATTTACTAGTCCAGGGATCCAGCTCAGTCCTCAACCAGGCCGGTAATTTGCCGGTCTTTGGTTCCCCAGCACAGGCATGCTTATTTATTAGTTATTTTATTACAGGTACTTATACTGTATAGCACTGTCAATTTACGCAGTGCTTTACTTATATATTATACATTCACATCAGTCCTTACCCTCAAGGAGCTTACAATCTAAGGTCCCTAACTCACATTCTTACATACACGTACTAGGGCCAATTTAGTCAGGAGCATGCAAAGGAACAACAAGCAGGGCGCCAGGTCAGCATGGATAAAAACAGTTGTACTTTATTTGAAAACACTTACATCTAAAACTCCTTCGGCGTGTGTGGCAGGCATGGACACTGGAGCCAGGGGCATCAGAAGAGAGAAGCCGATGATCTGTGCAATGCCCGAGGAGAGACCTGCTGCTGTGGACTCTACGACGTTACTACGAGCCTTCCCACTGATGATAGGGAGAAGAGACAGGTGCCCTGAATGGAAAGGGGTTTGGGCCGCAACGCTTTTCAAAAGCTCCGCCTCCTTTGTCAAGTAAACCCGCCCTTGTGACAGCAGGGTATATATGAGCTGTCAGATCGTGAGAAGCCAATCAGAGGGGAAAAGGAAGGAAGGAGTGCAAGGAGAAGGAGACCGCTGTGCTCTCTGGGGATCGTGGATTAGAGCATGATAAAACATTATGTACATACGGTTAGAGTATATGAAAATGAACAAGATGGCCAAAATAATAGTGATTAAATGGATAGAAAAGGAAAGAGAAATTAGCTTAAGAGGAAAAAAAAAAAGAGGGGAGAAAAAAACGGGGTGGATTATGTATGTAGAAAAAAAGGGAAAAACGAAAAACTGAGGACCATGTAGTGCACTTCCCTTGCACTCCTTCCTTCCTCTTCCCCTCTGATTGGTTTCTCACAATCTGACATCTCATACACACCCTGCTGTCACAGGGGCAGGCTTGCTTGACAAAGGAGGCGGAGCCACCCTTTCCATTCACGGCACCTGTCACTTCTCCGTACCATCCGCGGTAAGGCTCATAGAGATGCCGTAGAGTCCACAGCAGAGGTTCTCTCCTCGGGCAATGCACAGATCATCGGCTTCGCTCTTCTGATGCCCCTGGCTCCAGTGTCCCTGCCTGCCACACACGCTGAGGGAGTTTTAGATGTAAGTGTTTTCAAATAAAATACAACTGTTTTTATTCACGCTGACCTGGTGCCCTGCTTGTTGTTCCTTTGCATGCTTCTGTGGAATCCCCCCATCCTTGGTGAGGAGCTGCCGGTCTGCTTGTGTGATTCTTCAGTCTCTACGGTCCATCCCCCTCCCATTCTGCACATCTATTGGATGGACCTACTGACCGCTGCATCCTGATCACACCGGATTTTGCATAGAATCTTGTCTTCCATCTTTTTACCTTGTGGACTGGTTTTTATAATTTTTTATTCTCATATTCCACCTATTTTCCATCTTCTGTGCAAACGCTGAAGGGTTGCTCATAGTTACTGATGATCCTCCTATATGCCAATTTAGTCAGGAGCCAAATGCCCTACCAGCATGTCTTTTGGAGTGAGGGAAGCCAGCTGTGAATCCATGTGGTTTCACAGCTAGCTTCCCACTGCTCTTGCGTGAACCATGGAGAGCCAAGTGGAAGTAGGAGCAGGTACCTGTCAAAGCTAGGTACCCACTCCTTAAAAACAAAAATAAGTGCCCAGAAGTGGTAAAGGAGGGAGGAGGCAAAAAAGTGGAACTTCCCCTATTGTGTGAAGTTCCACTCTAAGAATAGTTGGTGTTAGGCTTTAATACCACTTTAAGTGTCTTTCTTGTCTTGTATCAGCAGTTGTATCTCTTTTTTTATTATCGTCTGTATATAATACAGTTTTCTATAATTATTTTGAATACTAGAGCCTAACGTTGGCCACACAAGTATTGTTTCAACCTTACACATAGTTAAAAAAATAAAAGTTGTTGATATAACAAATTTAAGGGGTTTTTACCTGAATCCTTTCTCTATCCAGCGCTGTACCCATCTGCAGCAACGCTGGTCTCTCTCACTGGGCTCATAAGACAGACTGAAAGCAGCGGGAGTTGTTGGTTCCCGCTGCTGTCAGTCAAATCCAGTGAGGAGGGGGAGGGACTGAGTCACACTGTGTGTGTTGATTGATGGACACAGCCCGGCTTGGGAGATCGCCTATGCGTGTGCCCCATAGTAAGTGACTTGCTATGGGGGCACACTCAGGAGAGGAGACGCGCACAGCGTCGGCTGAGGACCCCAGAAGAGGCGGTAAGGGGCCACTCTGTGCTGTATCCTTGCACAAAGCAAGCAAGTATGAACCTCTTTTTTATTTTAGCTAAATAAATGTTAGCCTTTAATATTACTTTTAATCTGAAGCAAAATATTGATGTGGCCAGAATTATACATGTTTAGAAAATTATGAACAGATCATCATGCAAAAGTTATTTTCAGAAGATAATGGCTTTTTTAATTTATAACCGTAAACAATGAATATTAGCACAAAAATATTCTTTTTTTGTGCATATTAACCACAAACACTTCAGTACAATGTCATATCTTGTACTTTATACAGTTCACTTTTTGAAAAAAAAATTAATAATTTTTTTTTTTTTTTGCAGCCGTCAGCTGCAGTACTGATGGTACTTGTAGTCATTTCAAATTGTGACAGGGGGTGCTGTCACAGGGAGCAAGGGATCGAGGGGGAGAAGGTCCAGATGCTGGATCATGTTATATGTTCCACCCTAAAACCAGCTGGAACATGTAACATATTCCAAAGGTGAACTTTGTAATAAAGCCCAGATATTTTATTTGTAAAACGTAAGCCATTTATTCATGGACTAACATTATATGTTACATTTCCAACAAGCACCAGATCACCTTACTACTTAATTTGTTTATATAGGTTTCCTTGTTAGAACATATGTGCTGTGGTCAAACATTTATTGTGAGCTTTTGTGTAAAAAAAACAAGTAAATCAAGTGGTAATTCCGTGCTTAGTTAAGGTCAGATAAAACTGATCTTTGGAATGTTTTTGCCAATTGTAGTAAGTATTTAAATGTGAGTACATCTAATAGGCCTTGTGCATTCAGATTTTGAGATTAATTTGGCTGTAGAGGAAAGTGGTAATTAAAGAGTATCCTTAACTAGTAATGAAAAAATGTTTTTCTTCTTGCAGTTCCTGGAAAACCTGACTTTTCTGTGCATCAGACATCGGAGAGCAGCCTACAATTACAATGGGGACCACCAAGTGAGTCAGTTGAGCACATCCTAGGGTACCGCCTACAGTTTGGGCGCCATGATGCTAAAGTTTTGTCAACACTAGAGTTTGGACCTCAACAAAAGACATACACAGCAACCAATGTCCACAAAGGTGCAAAATACATTTTTAAAATGGCGGTCAAAGGCCGGGCGGGCTTTAGTGAGGAAGCTGTGAAAGAGTTTGTTATACCAGGGGAAGCACCTAAAGGTTACCCTCTTTTGATTGAGCCTGGCAATATCAGTTCTGTAACTATCCAGCTAAACTGGCTGCCTCCTGTTTTGGCCGAAAAGAATGGGGATATCACCAAGTATACAGTAGCCTACTGGGTTGCTGAAATTCCTGAAAAAGTTTTGGAATTGGACCTACCATCTTCTCAAAGCTCTTGCTTGCTGAGCAATCTGAAGCCTAGCACTGTGTATGAAGTCAAAATACGTGCACACACCAGTAAAGGGCCTGGGCCTTACAGTCCAAGTGTCCAGTACCGCACTTTTCATCTAAATCAAGGTAGGCCTTATCAGTCTTATTTCCTTGGCTTTTAGTTTTGGTTCTTGAAAGCAAGCAGCGCCTGAATCCTCCAGCTCCAGTGTGACTGTAATAATTGGAATGGTATTTTTTTATTTTACTAATAACTGAGTGAATCTGAAAGTGTGGTCAGGTAAGTGCTTTTTCATTTCTTAAAGTCTAGTTAAGACACTTCTCTTGAGTTTCTGGGTCCACCAGTGACATCCAAGGTGGGATGCCTTCTCTGTCACCTTTGTTTCAGTATGTGCCTTGAAATACACTTGTTTACATATTTCATTCCTAAATATTTTTTTTAATTAATCCATTTAGTGGTATAATAATGGTATTTCTGGTTTTAGAGTCATGAAGCAAAGTGTGGGTTTGTAGAGATGCTTGCAGCTTACGAAAAAGAACACTAACTCAATTTTTCTTTTAACACATTTCAGTGTGCTTTTAAAAACACTGGCTTCACAATGGAATTATCTGTTTTAATAACTTGTTCTGGTAATCTTTCTTTTGTCTTTGCTGTTTTTCAGTAATGCCAAAAAATTTCAAGGTCAGAATGGTAACAAAGACTTCTGTTCTCCTTAGCTGGGAGTTTCCTGAAAATTACAACTCAATAACTCCATACAAGGTATTAGGATGGATTATGTTTCTTTTACTAAATAGGTTTTTTGGTCTGGTGAAAGTGATGTACAGAGGGGTTTTTCTTTACACTTTTCTAAAAAGTCCCAAGCATCTACTGCCCTATTTCATTTTCAAAAACAGAAATTTCCCCTTATGAATCATTACCATTTCCACCCTGGTCAAGCAGTCTGCAAATCTTGGCAATTTTTTTTTCATACCACGAAGACAAGGGCAGCAGCTTTAAAAGAAACATATAAAATCCCCTTTACCAAGCTTGGGATTAAACACAGGTTTACTGTCACCCAGTACACCAGGTTTGTTCTCATGTATTTATTTTTTAATTAAGAAAAGACATGGGGTTTTATTGAATTGTATCAGACCAATACATCAGTCATACAGTCATATTCTCATACGAGTGGCTAAAAGACCAAGTGCATGTGAGCCCTACGTCATGCAGATAATAGTTAACCACTTGCCTACAGGGCACTTACACCCCCTTCCTGCCCAGGCCAATTTTTAGCTTTCTGCGCTGTCGCACTTTGAATAACAATTGTGCAGTCACGCAACACTGTACCCATCTGAAATGTTTACAATTTTTTTCACGAAAGTAGAGCTTTCTTTTGGAGGTATTTAATCGCTGCTGGGTGTTTTATTTTTTGCGCTATAAACAAAAAAGGAGCAAAACATTTGAAAAGAAAAAAGGTTTTGTTTCTAATAAAATTTTGCAAACAGGTAATTTTTCTCCTTCACTGATGTGCGTTGATGAGGCTGCACTGATAGGCAGCACTGATAGGCGGCACTGATGGACACTGAAAGGCGGCACTGATGAGTTAGCACAGATAGGCAGCACTGATGGGCACTGATAGGCGGCACTGATGGGCGGCACTGCTGGGCACTGACTGGCGGCACTTCTGGGCACTGATAGGTGGCACTGATGGGGGGCACTGCTGGGTACTGGTGAGTGGCACTGATGGGCACAGGTGGGTGGCACTGCTGGGCACTTGTGGGCAGTATTGCTGAGCACAGGTGGGCGGCACTGCTGAGCACTGATCATCAGTGCCCTGATGATCAGTGCCGATCCGTCCTCTGTCAATTGCCGGTTATCGGCAGTACTTTCCTCACGCTGTGACAGCATGAGAAAAGTGCAGCCGATAACCGGCAACTGCATTTACCATTGATCTGCTGTGTCATTGGACACAGCTGATCACATGGTAAAAGGCCGCTGTGATTGGCCTTTTACCACATCACGTGATCAACTGTGTCTGTAGGACACAGCGATCACGGAGATTGCCGGGTGGGTGTGTTCAAGGAGGACGTCATAAGACACCCTCTCAGGACTGGACAACCACGCTGTAGCCGTCATTCGGCTATAGCGCTGTTGCCAAGTGGCTAACAAGCATTTTAGGACCAGTATAAAGTCTCATAAGGGGGCCCCAAAAATGTAGTAATCTCAAAACATCAAGTGGGTGCTGGGAATTGGGCTTTTCTAGAACCCCAGATGGCGATGTGAGCATTCAATGGATTAATTTACACCTGATTTGTTTCTGTGGCTTTAAAAGAGAAGGTATTATCCATTCCCTGGTGAACTAAGCTATGTGGACCACTTACCTACTCACATTACACAACAAGAAAAATGAAGAGAACTTGTCACGGGAGCAACAAAACTATTCCCATAAGACTGTATGTGTATTTAACATATTGTATGCATGTTGTTTACCTGTGAAAGCTTGTTTGTGTAGAAATCCAAATACCTTAAAGTGGTAGTAAAGTCTGTTTTTTTACTTGTACCTACAGGTAAGCCTATAATAAGGTTTACCTGTAGGTACTGTAAATATCTCCTAAACATTTACCATTTAGGAGATATGTAAAGCACAAGCTCATGCGCTCTGAAGGAATGGCATGCCCGTGCTGTTCCTTCAGAGCTGTGTGCCGTAAAAAGTGACTCTCGCATACATGCGCGTGAGTGAGGTCATCGCGACTCAGCCATTCAAGCTGCCGGAGCCCGCAAACCCAGAAGATGGGCCGAGTGAAGATGGAAGCCCTGTCAGTGGTGACAGCGCATTGCTGGAGGGTTTCGCTTTAAGATAAGTTTCATATAATGTGCCAGTATGCTATGCATACTGGCACATTATCACTTTGTCTTGCAGGGAAAACCTTTTTTTTTTTTTTTTAGAGTTTACTACCGCTTTAAGACTGATGCTGAGCACTGCCATCTTGGATGTGATATCCGCATCCCCAGCAGTATCAGGGTTGTTACTCAAGGGATCCTTTATAGTCTTTCTCCTAGCTCCTACCACAGCAACCAAATAAAAGGTTGCATAGGGAGTGGTGGGAGGACAGAGCGGGTAATTACATTTTTATAAGAGAAGGCTTTGACTGCAAGAAGAAAGATGGTTTTGCTAGGGAACTGACTAGTCATGTTTTCTTGCAAGTTCAAAGGCAAATTGAAAGTGAATAAAAATTATTTATTAAAAAGAGAAACACTGCAGGTAAACATGATTTATGTGATTTTGCTTTTAATTTTGTAAGTTAGTGACAGGGTCTCTTTAAAGGAAACACACCCAAGCATCATGCGTTCCAAAAAAAAAGATTCAAAGTAATACTCTTGAGTAATGTCATTGATTTCTCTTAGCACAAGTCTATTGATTATATAAGGAGCTCTGCATTCAGAGACCTGAGCCTAATTTGCCAGTTCTGAGGTGTCTTCTTATATCCTGAGTACAGGATATGTTGAATCCTCTGCTTCCTGCTTACAGCAACATAGTCTGCAGATTCTGCTTGTAGGCACAGTAATTAGTTGCTCAGCCATGCCAATCAGCTCACTCATTTACGAACTGCCGTTGTTTATGTATTATGTTTTAAAGAGAATGCTGATTTAACTTTACCATATAATAATACTTATGTTGCTGATACTACGTAAGGCTAGGTTTACATTATTGTCAGGAGTCAGGAACATGCACACCCATCACACTGCTGTTTAGCAGATGCGTGAGGGCCAGTTCACATCAGAAAATGGTGCTGGAAACCCACTTTGTGTACGGGTTTCCCACATAATGTTCAAAACTCACTGAAGCTGTAATCTGCAGCGAGTGTCAATGTTAAGTTATTGACCCCCAAATGTAGGTCACAAATGCAGGACATTTGTCCTAACCGCGTTGCATGATACAGAAGTACAATGTGATTCGGTTGAATTGAGTTTCCAAAAGTAGTACATGTGCTACTTTTGGTGTGATGTGATTTCAGCCTATTCAAAATGAATTGGTTGAAATTGCACCACAGAGAACTGCATGTGAAGAGCACAGGAACGCACAGCGTATTCCTTTGTGATTCCCGGTGCAAGCCGGCCCTCATGTATCAGCAAACCACATGGTGCCGCAGCACCATGCAGTTTCACATGGTGCAAATTTCAAAAGATGGTCAAGGAATTTTTTCCCTGAGTTTCTGTGAGTAGGGAAGCCAGTTGAAGTGACTGGGCTGCCCTACATGCAGAATGAAACTCACTCAGGTGTAAATCAGGCCTTACTGTCCCATACCATGTCTTCTCTTTCCTGCTGAAAAAAATGATAGTAGTAAACACGTACCTGTTCTAAAGTTTGTATAGTTAGTAATGTAACACCAGCTGCTAAATTATAGGCATGTAGCGGTATTTACAAAAACATTACTTACAGAGTACCCCAAGGACTCTTTAGTTTTGTGTGTTTCAACTTGAGGTCTTTGGTTCAACTCTAGCCCTCTTGTTTTTTGCAGTGTGTGCCTCACTATTATCAATAAAGAAATGTATCAGTTTAGGAGAAGTGGAAGTAGCCTGACTTTATAGCTAAAGGAATAAGTTGGCAGATTGGGTTTTGGTGCTTCATGGAAGATCTGAATGTCACTAAAGTTACATGCAGATGATTTCTGTTACCAAAGAAACTTTCAACAGTCCACCAGTTTGAACTTTAGTACGTTTACTCTAAGTTTATAGAGCGAAACTACTCCTATTCTGTAATTTCTGGCTTCAAAAGGACTGAATTTCCATTCACAGTAGTAAATCTACTTCAGATTAGTTCATTCACTCAGTTGCTTTTTTGATAAGTGAATATCCAGTTGTCTGTTTTATATTTAACAGAGTTTTTTTTCCTCCTACATAAGTCTTCTAATTTTGTGTCAGTTGAGCTCTTACCAGTACACTGGGAGTTTAACAACTTTGCCAGCAGGTTGGTTGCAAGTAAGAGTTTTCAGAGCCCACCTGCTTCTGAGGTACCAGAAGGGTGGAATAGTCTCATAATGTTTCTGCATTGTGATGGGGGTCTCATTTTTTTTCTCGGTTACACTCTTGATGGACCTGCCCAAAGAAGAAGGGTGTTCAGCGCAGTATGCACATGGTGAGGGCCCTGCACACTGACAGCTTCTGAAAAAACAAGCCCATATGGCTGGGTATATCAGCTGTTTTTTGGGGGCAGGGGAACTACCTTGTTAATTTTTTTTTTCTGTATTTATTTTTTAAATGACACAAAATATACGTGTGGATTAGCAGATTATTGACCCAAAGGACAGGATTAGACAACAGAGTAGATTTTCATTTTTTTTGGCCATTACGGACCATTCTGTGTTTAACATGGTTTAAAGAAGAACTTCTATTACAAATTGTTTATATTGTTCTGCTCCAATGTGACAACGTACATGTAGTATTTTGTTCCATGTAGCTAGGTACTTCTTAAATCAGGTTATGAAGTCTGACCTACCCCCCTCTCCTTGCTGCAAATCTATCTGCAGCTTGGAAGGAGACAGATCATTCATTGTAACAACATCTTGTATCAACATAGAGCACTGCAAAAGTTGCAGCAAGAAGAATGCAGAGATACAGGAGTTTAAAACACACCCCTCTACCTATGCATTCCCCTTGTCTCAAGAATGTGCCCTGAGCTGAGACGAGCTTCAATTACAATGGACCTGTTTCCTTCTAAGCTATTGTGAAATTAGCCGCACTTGGGGTCAGGTAGAACTTCATATTTTGTCTTAGGAGGCACCTAGCTACATGGAACAAGGTACTCCATGTGCCTTAGCCCAACATAAACCTGAGATGTTAACAACTATAACTAGACATACTGGTGTTCCTTTGTGACACAACGGCTTTTCACTTTAAATGGATAACATTTAGGTGAATAGAACTTAAATTCAGGTTGTTGGCATGTTTATAGTGTCAGCTAAAAAGTAATTATTGTTTGTATATTCTGTAATGTTTGTTGTTCATGCTGTGCTCTTCTGTTGCTCAAGATTCAGTATAATATGCAGACAGTGGATGTAGATGGACGGACAACAAAGAAGTTAATTACAAACCTGAAACCCAAAACGCATTATACTTTTACGCTTACCAGTCATGGAAACTCTTTGAGTGGTCTTCAGCAGAATGTCGCTGTCCGCACAGCTCCTAACATGTTGGGTGTGAAACCTTTGGTAAATGCAAAGGCTCAACTAGATGGTAGCATAACAGTAGTCCTGCCAGATGTGGAAATGTCTGAATCAGTGAGGTAAATATTTCAATATATGCTCTTTGTTTGCCTTTGTGTTGTAAAATAACATTTAAACATTTAGATGTTAGAGTATATTATCATTTACTCATTTAGTACACATACAGCTATACAAAAGTATGCACACATGCAGTTGTGCACGTATTTTTCAGGAGTATCTTTATTTGATATATGCTTGCATATGCATTTTATATAGCTCTAGTCAGTTTAAAGTGCAAGTTCAAATTTTCAGAAAAAAAATGAAAAGGTGAATTAGCATCCTCCCCACCACTTATTCGCCCCGCTATAACCAACAAGCCCCCTTCCATCCCCCGTTGCCCACTGTATTTACCTCACTGGGTAATGAACTGTTAGTGCCCCCATAGACATTGTAGCAGAAATCCCTGCTCTTCTCCCCTTTCTTTCTGCAGAGCTTTCAGGACTGCTCACAGTGATTCTGAATGGTCTGCGCCAGCACAGAGAATCACTCTGATTAGTCCCGGGAGCTCCACAGAAAGAAGAGGGGGAGGAGCAGAGAGCTGAAATCCCTGGATTGCTACACTGGCTATATGGCCACTGAAAGCTCAAACCCACATGAAGCCAAGTACAGCGGAGACCAGTGGGGGGAGGATATAGGGTGTTCGTTCACCTTTTTAATTTTTCCCTGAAAATGTAAACTGACCCTTTAAGCACTACCTTTTGATGGTATAATCTGATGCATGTAGTTTCATAAGCATCTACTCCTCAGTCAGCTACCTAAATACTCCCAACATTTTTGGTGCAGGGGAAAGCAAATTAAAAATCATTTTCTAGTATTAACCAAATTTACTTCTAAAGAGTTAAGGTGAATTTCTTACCTCAAAGTACTTTTAGATAATCTTGATTTCTAAATTATCTTAATGCTAGCATTTGTAGGAAAAGCATACTTCCTTCTTTTCGAATCCTGTTGCTTGTTTGCCTTCACTACCTCATGCATTAGCCAAGAAAAAAATAAAAATGTAACTAAATTGATATCAAAATCGTATTTTTACTACATGCAGTTGAAGCTGCTTTGTTTTTGGAATAAAATGGTAATTATGTAGATCTATGTATTTACCTTTGGTGTGAAAAACCATATGAATAGTCGACTCTTTCAACATATTTGCATGAGCAAACATGAGATTTTCAAATTAAAAAGTACACACAGATAAAGAAAATTTGCTCCATGGACCTTTTGATCAGGTCTGCCTTAAAAACTGAATGGCAGATCTGATCCGAACACCCGTGTGAAAGGGCCTTAACATTGACAGTTTTTGACCACTCCTCCGTGCAAATGTCCTTCAGTTGCAAGATGTTTGTGGGCTTTTGATCATGTACTGCCTATTTCAAATCCCCCAACACTTGCATAGGATTGAAATCAGGGCTTTGACTAGGCCAGTCCAAAACTCAATTTCCTCCTTCGAGCCAATATTTGGTGCATTTGCTAGTGTGCCTTGGTTTATTAAATTGGTTCTAAAGCCTAAACATTTTTTACCGTAATGCATTTCCTGCATTAGGATAAAAAATGTTTAGATAGTAATATCGCCCCCTTAGCCCCCCTTATTCCTACTTAATCCCTCACTCGACCCAGCACTGTGCCTGTCTGTAACAGCTCTCCCTTCTCTCACAAGCTTTGCAGAAGCAGCGGAAACCATTGGCTCCCATTGCTGTCAATCTAATGGCAAGGGAGTGGGGGCAAGGCCGAGCTATGTTGTCTGTGTCTATGGATGCAAGCAGTGCGGCTTGGAATCAAACCCACATGTGTGCAGCAATAGGGAGGGGCTTCCTGTGGTTGCAGTCAAAGAAAAGGAGGAGCCATAAGTGCCGTCGGGGGGAGAAATAAACTTTACAATCACTTTAATGTCTTGAAAGATCCATTTTCAGTTCAACGGACAGATAGCCTCTCATGCAAACTCTGAAATGATTCAGGATCTATAGTTGATTCGATGACTCCAAGTTTCTCAGGCCCTGAATTGCTATTGTCAGTTTGGGCCAAACATGTCTACTGTTAGACTGTACTGTTATGTTACTGAGGCCAAACAACTCTAGCTTTAATTCATCACTCAACAGGACATTGTTCCAGAACACCTAGTCTTTGCCTATTTGTTAAATGCAAAATGTAGTCTTGCTGTAATGTTCTTTGTAGACAGCAAAGGCGTTTTCTTAAAATAGACCGGATTCCCCTTTTACTAAATATTTGCATGCTGATATAAAATCATATTACATTTATTAAACATTTTTGGCTTCTGCTTACAATTACTTTTTCATTGAGTGAGGCATTCGTGATATAACTAGGGCCTCGCAGCTGTATCCTGGGAAGTTTCTGTCACATGTTCCTGTAGGCAGACACTGATTTCTGGGCAGAATTCCAGGAAGTAACGGGAGATGGATTCATCTGTCCATAGTGAAAATGGCCGCTGTGAGAAGAATGGAGAAGAAAAGAAAAAAAGGATCTGCAAAGAATAAAAAGCTTGCAATTATCTATAAGTATTTGTTGATTGCCATTACTAAATATTTTTAAAGGTGCCTTTTTTGTAATTTTTATGTTGAGGTTAAAATTCCTCTTTAACACAACTCCATCACAGGTTAAATTGGTGCAATCTCTTTATGATTGTAAAGTTATACAATTTGACACCAGCTGTTGCAGCCGTTACCTGCAAATCTCACAATGAACTTTTAGCGTACAGGAGTCCTTTGTAACATCAAATGACCAGCTCTTAGGCTGAATGTCCTGGCCCCCCTGAGCTTACCAGCCCTGGACAAATTAGGAGTTTTTTTAAATATACACTACTTGAAAATTAATTTCCTTACAGTGAAATGATTGATTTGGCAATTTTGTTAACTCCCTTGCCAAACTACTAAATCGCTTGCTAATCTTAAAATAGTATTAAACCCAAAACCAAAAATGTAATATATTGCAGCTTTCCATTCATCAGATGTGGAGGTTGCAGTAGTTTTCTTTTTTGGCTTTTTTCTCTCTGTTTGGTGATGTAGCCAGTGAAACCTTTTTGGCCAGTGAGACACCATTGAACAGCATCATTGTTAATCTGGGGGGAGTGAAGTGTACTAGCAGATTCAGATACACTAACAAATTGAAGCCATACTTCAGCTAACACTTTTTAAGCAGTTACAGAAATCGTTTTTTTTTTTCTTTTGGGATAAAACTTTACATAAATATAGGGAGGGGGAGAGTGCAATAAAACCATGGATCAACTGCCTGCTGTCTTGACCACAAGCCTGAATGAGTCCCAAGAGAGCTCTTTTAATATTGACATGATGACACACCTGTCAATAGCAAAGATTGCATCAGATCCTAAATATCAGAGTATAAAATAAGACAGGCTTTACCTGCATACTAAAAATAAAAAAAAATAGAAACACTGCCCAATTTAAAGGCTAAGTTCACCTTTTACAAAAAAAATGTGCATATCTTTTTTCAGGTAAAAAAAAATGTGCATTTATAATTTTTTTACTCTGCGGCCTTCAATGCATTGCACCCGTTATCAGCAAATGGCAGGTACAATGCCAGGCTCCAGCAGATACTCAATACAGTACCTTGTACGAGCAGACAATTGCTGAATGGAAGGAGGAATCAATGAAATACAAGGATGCTCACCAGCGCCCTCATAGTTCATTGAGAACTACAAGCCATCGGCTGCATAGGCCGACAGTAGATGTAGTTCATTAATTCACAGAACTCTGTGCTTTTTTTATATTCTGACAGCAGGTGCAGGGAGAAGATTTCTTACCCACTGTCACAAGGAGGAGTGATTGGGGGAAAGAGGAGGCAGGAGCTGGAATGTTAAATATTCCACCCTAAATATGGGTGGGACATGTAATATGTTCCAAAGGTGAATTTCTCTTTTAACTAGTTAATTTTGTATCCAACCCTTCAGCTGCTACCATAAAAAGTGTTCCCCTATAGGAGACCCCAAATTAGAGTTAAAAGTGTAATTGGACAGCATGCAAATATATCATAAAAATATAGTCTTATATTATAAACCAACAATGAATAAAAAGTGCATCACTCAAAAAACATAATGCAAACAAATCAAATCCAGTCTCTGGTATGTGTGTAAACAACCTAAATAAAGTACATGATGCTCTGCAAGGAACAAAAAAGCATGAAGTGCTTCAGAAAATTTGTGCTTCTTTTTCTCAAAGTGCCAAACCGTACTTCAACAAACGATAAAGTGCTCCCTGTCTCTTCATCTTGTGCATTCAGGACACCAGCTGAGGACCATCTGCTGATCCTGGGTTACAGAGACCTACAAATCTTGGCACTAAATTTCTCCCCTATTACTTTATTCACACACATGGTGTGGAAAGATAGGATGGTAGATGGGCTTAATAGCTCAGGGTCAGCCTTTATGTCTATTTAGGGTTGTTGTATATTAGTTCTAATGGTTGCCTCTATTTCCTTCCTCATTCAGCCAGTTCTTTGGCCTAGCTCATCCTTACTGTCTAGAGAGAAATTTTCTGTCAAAGGGTCAGAGTTCATGGGCAAAATCTCTGGCCTTGCTGATGCCTTAGGCTACAGGGATCATGTCTGTACCTAACTTCATTTTTAATTTTGACCTTGACCCAAATACAGTACTGGAGGAGGAGTTATCTGCTGAAGAAGGGTCCTCACCCTCTAAGGTTTAGTGCAGATGGATCAAAATTAAGCCAGTTTAGCAGGGACTGGCCTAATTTCAGTCTGTGTGTGGCCCTCCCTGTTCGACAGAAATTGATTTTTAAATTGACTTCTGTCAACCGTTTACACTGGAAAACTTTCATCAATCAATGGCTGCAGCCACAGATTAGTGTTTTCTGACAGCAGAGAGTTCTAATCCAAACAAGACCCTCAAAGCCCCGTGGAGGATAATCACTTGTTCAAAGATCCAATAGATAAGAGGTAAGAGTCCCTTCTTAAGGCTACCCATGGTGGGCCCTGCCATGCAACCTGCAGTTTTGTCTATGGCAGTTTGTCAGAACACTGCTGAGTAAGCTAAGCGTATGGC